TAATGAACTTCGTTTCTAATATTTTGTAGCTTTAAAAAAAAAACTAATTTAAAAAACGATTTTAAGATGTAACATTCATAAAATCTCTCATAATTCACTAAATATAAATTTTCTAAAATTAAAACTACACTGAACTGAATCCCAACTGTTGAATCTTGTTTTGAGCTATAATGCGTTTGTGTACGGCTTATTTTAAATCATTTTAAACCGAAATACAGTTTCTTTAATTAAAATATTTATTTTGCATTTATGTTGCTCAGTAAAATATTTGCAATTTTTTTTATTTCTTACTTCAATTCCAGAACACTTCAGTTAATTTATTTTAAAATGCAGTTTTATGTTACGTGATGTGATAAAAAGCCACAACTTTTTCCTAATCTTAATATATATTTTTTCGATCTAACTATTTTTGATGAAAAAGAAAATTTTGATAAGTATCAGTTTTGAATAAATTTTAATATTTGAAATAGTGTAATTTAATGCAAATATAGCAAAGTTAACTGAGAAAAAGAATTTAGTCTGAAGCATTAAAGTTTACATAAAAATCATCATAATTGCTTTCAACATGGCATGCAGACCTTCATTCAAATAGGTTGTGCACCCCTATGTATAAATTACAATAAAAATATTTTTCTTTTCATTAGGTATTTTTTAATTAACTTTACAAATAAAAATAACTCTTAACTAAAATTTGAATATAGTTATTGTAAGATAGCGAGTTATTTCCTCATATTTTTAGGATTAATTACATTTCAATGTAATAAGTCGGTAAGTATATACAATGTTCCAATTTAGAACATTTTCTAAATTCAGTCTCTTCAATTATACATTCCTTATTAATTAATGTCAAAATAAATATTAATATAATTAAATATTAATATAAATATTAATAAATAAATAGTAAATTAAAATATATAAAATATAAATTAATGATATAAATACCCGAATGTCTCTTCATTGTGTTCTTGTTTCACATTATAATTTGAAAAAAAAAATAGTGTTAAATCTCATATAGGGCGCACTTAAATCTTGCAGGGGATGCACCCAAGCCTATATACGCCACTGATCCCAGTAGTTAATTGAATGTTATAGTTTATTCACAAAAAAAGCTGAAAGCTACTATATTGCATCAAAAATAAATGTTAATTACTCGATGAAACGAAAGTAATAAAATATAATGCGAAGTGAAACAAAATAAAAAAGAATCCGCATTAATCATAACTTAAGCACCTTGGCAAGGATGTTTAAACAGTGTTTGCGCCAATGTATTGGAGGATTATAAAGGATAGATCAATAAGTTTATATTTTGTGGTAAACCATGTAGCTTATCAATTATTATTGTTGTTCATTTAACTTAAAATTGAGGCGAAAATTGGCTATTCATATTTTGACAAATTGCTCCAAGAGGTAATCAAAATTTTTTTAATGCTAATGATCAAATTTTCAGAAACAAAGTGGTAATTTTAATGCTTTAGAGAGGGGACTTTAAATATGTTAATTAATGCTCTAACTATTAAGTTACTTAAACACAGCGTACTGGCTCTGACTAAATTTTTTTTTACGGCGGACTTTGATTTTTTTGACTATCAAAATATGGGTGTTTACAGCAATATGGTCACAACGGTTACGGAAGTTTGGTCACCTTAACACTAACTTCGAATTTTCAGTATTTCGTAATTGAATCGAAACATTTTTGCACACATTTAAAATTTTATTTATTCTAATGCTAGAGAAATTAATTATTTCTCATTATTTTTATTTAATATCGGCCGAAAAAAATTTGAAATTTAAGATAAACATTTTTATACTTCATTTTAAACCTTAATCTAATTCTCAAAATACGAAACTTCAAGCAATCGCAAAACAACCACGTTACCTCAACCTTGCGAAGAGAATCCGGATTGCCTCAACCTATAACGCTATTTTTGAACAAAAGGTTTAAGGCTATCCTACGTCTAGCATTCACATTTTCTTTAATTAATCATTTCAGTTTATATAATACCGCTTTAAGCATAACAAGATACTACCTTTTATGTAACAATTTTGAAACAGTTTATGAGTATAATTCAAGGTAAACTTTGCCTTACCGCCAAAGGCAAATTGACCGAGAGTTATCGCTTTTGCTGAATCATCGGAACTTCATGAAGACGAGAATTTTAATGACTTAATTATTTTAGAGCTGAATTTAAAGTTTGAGCAACGTTAACGACGAAGATAGCGATTCTTAATAACCGTTAGCAAATTTCGATCGCGTAACAATATATTAGAATGAATTTAAATATTCAAAGCCACCCCCACTCCTAAACTTTTAATTTCATTTCATCACAGTCGTTGAACAGCAGTCTAAATTTTTTTGTGTTCACGATTACCAATGTTCAATTGTGTAGCCTTGTAATTTTGAACCCAATCTAAAAGACAAGGGAACTCCTGGATCGAGAATGTGGAGAAATTTGCTTCGTGGTGGACTTTTTGATGAAACTAACCCGCAATTGTGTTACATATGAAAAGGAAACCTCTCACTGTCAGCCTGCCTGCAAGGGGACTAACCCATGATCCACTTACAACTGAGGATATTTTTTGTCAGCACTGTGGTCGGTGCAAGGCGGGTGAGGTCTGTATCGACCAGCCATTGCTGGGATTCGAACCCGGGTTACCTCATTGGATAGTAGTGCTCTAATTCCCGACTCCTTAAACTTTTATTTCCATTGCCTTTGAAAAACACTCTTGTAATATATTCTTAACATGAATTATTTCAAATTTTTAAACGGACTAAGAGGCTCCACCCCCTCGTTTCGTCCGCTAACCCTTTGTAATAGATACTCATTCATAATTTTTTATTTCTTCTTAAACGTCAATATTTTGCACAAAAACAGGGAACATTTTGGTTTCAAAATACGCAATTATATTAGCTTTATATAAGAACATTTTGTTAAATCACGTTATTCTTAACGAAATGGACAATTACTTGGATTTGAAGAACAATCTGAACTTGAAAAAAACCCTAACACAGGCAAAAATCTGTTTCAATAAGAAATGAGACAAGACTAGAACAAGTCAAGTAGGAAACTGTTCTCCTTTTTATTAGGTTCGTTTTTAAATCTAATTTTTAAAAATTTCACCATAAATGTTGAGATTTATAACTGAAAACACGTAATCTCTATTTTTGCAACGTTTGATTGATGACATCTACTCAAGTATGAGCGAATAAAATAAAGATCTTATGAGAAAAGCAATGGCTTTTCTACATCAATGGAAAGTCAATATTTAAAGCAAAAAAACAAAAATTCCAAAAAATACTTAATTTTGTAATTACTTTCGAGCAAATTGGAATTTTGAAAATATTAAGCTCATAAACAAATGCGTCCCTTTCACCCTGCAGTTGCATTCGCGTGGCATATATTTAAAAAAAATCAGCAGTTTTCACGTATAAATTATCAAATGTAGCATTTTTTATTCCATCGTTATTCCTGTTCACGTGTCTACATACTTTAGTAAATTCAAGTTTCTAAATTGTATAGTTTTTAGGAAGCAAAGCAAAATTTAACGCTAAGTTGAACACTCAAATCAGCAGCGTCGGCGACATTTTTTAAAAATCCCACTATCTCAAATTCAAATATAAACACACTCTCGTGTTTATATCTTTACTTTTATTTTTAAACCTTAGCAATCTTTAAATTCAATTTTTATCAAAATTTTGCATATAAGTTTGACATCACAATTCCTAAGTTTCATCTAAGCTACTTGCATTCAAATACAACAATTTTAAGATGATAATATCACACGGAAGACAATTTTCATCATCGTCATCATATGGGGTAGCTTAATTGATAAATTTAGAATTGGATAAAAATCTTTAAAAAAAATTTCAATGCACACATAAAGGTTTAGTAAAATCCGAATCCAAAAAGTGCAAATCCACATATATCGTCAATTGATTTAATATACTTGCACTATATTCAAATTCACGTGCAATTTTGATTATTATGCTGTTTAAGAATAAATCAATTTTTTAAAGTTTTTTATTGAAAACACTTTCTTGAAAAATTAATTATTTACTTTGTACTGAGCAGTTTGACAGAATCAATAAATAGCATACTTTTAATTTAAATGAAAACTTAACATTTCGAACATCTAATACAAATATTTTGCATTTGAGAATTCGGAGAATCTCCTGGTTTAAATCTAGATACTAAAGTTAATCTAAGATAATGAAAATCTAGACAAATTCTGTATTTTAACAAGAAAGTAAAAACAGTCTGAAATCAGATTTTATTTTATCAATCTAACATTCTTAGCATTTTTCTAATACTTAAGTACACATTTTTTATGAGTACGCAACTCTCCAATAATTGGCATTTCCAAATATCCTTTCTACGTTAAATCAGTAATGATGAAAATTAAAAGTTATACAAAGATTTGGCTCATCAAAAATATAGGAAAATATCAACAGCTATTTGCGATCAATATAATCATGGTGATATGACTTGTCAAATTAACTTTAAAAGAAATGAAGAAAAAAAATAATCATCAATACTGAGAAATACGTGCAATTAAAATATATCACAAACGTAATACACGTAATTTAAAAAAAAAAATCGAACATTGAAAAATATGATTTTTCCTTTAAAATGTTACAGGTTTTAACAATAAAACTTAATCCTTAAATTGGGTAGAGCTTCTTTTTAAATATCAAAACTGATTGTACAGCATTTACTAAAAAAGTAATCATTGATTTAAAAAAAAACAAGTTTAAATAAATGCATGATAAAAAAAAATATTTTCACACAAAATTATTTATTTTAATAGAATGAATAGTAATAGACATAAAAGTAAAACAAAGTAATTATTCGTCTCCATGAAAAGTAACCGCTAAAATTATCATTTTACTTTCAATAAAATACGAAATTGATCAAAAATATAACTGAGCAGAATTTGAAAAATATATACATAAAAATTTAAAATATCACAATGACTTAAATGTTTAAGACAAATGAACTTACTCATGCTTTATAAAATTAAAATAGTTTTATCACCACACACAGCGGCACTTAAAACCACAAATTAAAAATTTTAAAATCATCAGTCAAGAACTAAACCATCATTAACAAAAATACTAACCTAATATAGATGAACGCCGCCGGTCGTATTTATAATTTATACTATTTCTTTCTTCTGGCATTGTTGCCATTTTGCCAAATTGAAAAAAATATAAACACAACATGGTTGCTCTGCAAACGATTCTTACGAATTCCTATAAATTGAAGTTAAAACAAGTTATTGTTCTATTTCTGCAGAAATAAACGTTCCACTCACTCCCTCAATCAATTAAGAATGCAATACCTCGATCGTCAGGTTATCAGCTTTTATATATCGATTAATCGAAGATGTTTTCGTTTTGTTTTTAATTGTCGTTTTCATTATCAACCTTTGAAACGGAGCAGGACTTGTTTGTGCGCACGAATCTTCGAGATAGTGTCACTATAGGTGACCTCAGGCAAAAGGAAGCACGTGTAGTAACAAAATCATTTTTCCTTTCTACCTCACAAAAGAAATCAAAATCCAAAGTCCACTTTAAAAACTGAATAATTGATTCCCAGGTACGCATTTCGGGGACCGTTATCTAAGTGCACTTGTGTTAAAAGTTAAGGATCGAAAAATTACTTTCTCTATAGAAAGTGGAAGGGAAGAAGTTATGCGACCTACTTTTACTCCTCTAAGGTACATTTAGTAAAATGTTATCTAATTTCTTTGCTTTTAAATTGGGGTGGGTCGTGAAACATGATTACTAAGTTATTTTAATTTAAAACCATAGTTGAACAGCCAATCTTTATATATCGATGTTTAACTCCATGGCTTTGTAGTTATGAAACCAACCCAGAAAACGAGGGATATCCCGAAGTTAATTCGGACTATAAAAAGTTATTGGCTCAAATCCCTCTGTATTTTTAATATTAATATAACTTCACTATGCACACGGAAGAGTAATTTAACATTCTATTTTGCAAAGAAATCAATTTTGAAGCAAATTGTATACATTCGTGAAAGTTAATGCATTTTTAATGCAATTTTCATGCATTTCTTTCGTAATATTGTGTATGCAAATTTTGAGTTTGGTAACCCATCCAACTACACAATCTGTTGTTTTCTGGGGTGTGCAAATTAGGGCACGGTAGCCTAAGTGCCAATAGTGTGAAATAACAAGTTCGAAAGGCTGTTATTGTCGTAGTTCATTTACGTCACACTAGAGCTGCACTATAAGCTATTGGTGACCGTCTGGGAAACATCCCTGAGGATGATCCGAAGACATGCCATCACAACTGTGAGCCTCTGCTGGGGGGATGGCAACCCCTCTTCGGTATACCGATGACCTGAGCTCGTAATCAAGCACTTTACGGTAGAACAGTTTAACGAGGACCCATACAGCACACCTTTGGACCCTACGCAGACTGATCCAAGTGGTCACCCACCCGCACACTGACCGCAGCCAGTGATGCTTAACTTCGGTGATCTGCTGGAAACCACGTCTTAATGATCAGTCCACTACGGGACTCGAAGCATGTGAAAGAAAAGATTTGATTCGATTCCAAACGTCGTTCTACGGTTCCTGAAATATTGGTTCAACAGTTAACTACATAATATGTCGTGCAATCTTATTGGAACATTAGAAGGTATATTAATCTTTGCATCCGTTCAAGCTGAACTGAAGTATTGAATAATCCAGTTTAAAGCGCTTCATTTATGTGATAATTGGGTTCGATTTGGTTCGGAGTGAAAGCAAGGATCTCACCACCGGATCTTTGACACCACCGGAGATTTTATATTTATGTTAATTCCGAACCGTCAATGAGAAAAACTGTCAGTAAAAGTACAATCAATTCAAGCACTCAATCAGAGCAGAATCGAACTTGTTAAAGTCTTGGCTGACGAGGGCTGAACTTACCACACAAATGGGCAAAGTAGAAGAAAGGGAGATTTATTTTTAACAGAAGTTCATAGGTTCGGAAAGTCACTTTAATAGCGAAAAGGCAAATAAATATCACGTTTTTTTTATTTTTCGGAAGACAGACAAGCAAATCTGGATCCTCCATTAGGTACATAGGTACTTTATTTACGTCGCACTAGATCTGGTAAACATCCTTGAGGATGTTCCGAAGACATGCCATCACAATTTTGTTCCGCTGCAGAGCCGTTTGAGTCCCCCTCTTTGGTAGCCCGAAGACCTGCTGCCGAAGTTGAGCAATTTACGAACAGTTTAATAAGGACCAATACCACGCTTCTCTCGGTTCATATGCAGGTTGAATAAAGTGGTCACCCACCCGCTTAGGTATGTAGGTACTTTACTTACGTCGCACTAGATCTGGGAAACATCCTTGAGGACGATCCCAAGACATGCCATCACAATTTTGATCCGCTGAAGAGTGGGTGAGTCCCCCACTTTGGTAGCCCGAAGACCTGCGGCCATAGTTGGGCAATTTACGAACAGTTTAATGAGGACCAATACCGCGATTCTCTCGGTTCATATGTAGGTAGAATAAAGTGGTCACCCACCCGCTTACTGATCACAGCCAGTGATTTCTTTCGTTACGATCATAACACTGCGGGTCTCTTCGATTAGTGAACCACCTGGGGGCCGAGCCTGACTAATGCAGGGACATACGAGGCAATTGCACCGGGCTTACGCATCAGAGGGGGCCTCCAAATCCAATAGAAAGTTTATTTTACGTTTCTTTCTTTATTGAACTTCTTTAAACTCATTATCAGTACAGTTTTAAATTTGTAAGCTTTATGTTAACTTCTTCATTAACCTATCTTATGAACACAAAAAATCTATATTTCGTAAATGCATGGCTTTCTAGGGTGGAATTCAGCTAAATTTTCGCAATTACGATTTACAAATTTGGCCAATGAAAAGCCTGTATTTTTAAATATCGCAAAATTTATATATCTCCATAAAGTTTGGTTCTTAATTAGCTACTCAAGTAGTGAAGCAGAGGGGGGCTCCAAAAGAAGTTTAGCCCCAGGCCCCGATTAGGCTAAGTCGGGCCCTTCCTAGGGGCATCTTATTGAAAAGGCGAAAAATAAAATTTTATGATTTATATAAAAATAATAAAAAACACATTATTGTAATGTTTTTGATCCTATGGAATATACAAGCACAAAAGAAAAATTTTCGCATGAAATATTATATTTTTACTTGCTAAAATATAAAAGCAAGGAAACTTAATTTATTTTTATTAATTCATAATGAGTTACTTATAGCTCATGAATAATTATCTGACGAAATTATATATTTAATAAATGTCCTACTTTAAATTCGTGTTGTTCCATGGAAATTGGGAAATCACCAAGTACATTCCTTTACAATAAGCAAAATTATTAAGAATCGCCTGTTTAGTAAAGATAATATCTTTAAATGATGAAAAAAAATATGCCTAAGGTGCGTTGAGAATAATCTAATCAAACACTATCGCTAAAATTTTCCGGAAGTCCAGATATAAAAAAAAAGTTATAATACAAATCTTTCGTTATTCTACTGCTTTGCGAGTGAAATTGAAATCGTTTTTTTTTCTGTTCTATAAAAGAAAATTTTTGGTGTACAAAAAAAAATTTAGAAAGATATTTGAAAAACAGAAGAATTATGAATATTATATACATTTCATACATTTAAAATATTAATGTTCGTTTTCGTTAAAATTTAAAATATTTAAGTTCGTGAAGTCTTCCCTTTTAATAAATATTTGATTGTACATTAGTAAAAAACTATATGCTTTATATTAGCTGAATATCTATCTTTCGTACCGGTATTTCGTATTTTTACTGAAGTAATTAATCAATAAATCGTTCTTTATCAACATTACGATACCATGCGTAAAGTTGAAAGATATATATCAACGAAGTTTATAATTCCAGGTGTTTTGTAAAGTTAAATTTTTTTCATATTTTCAGCAATCAAATTGCGTCAGTCAAGCTATATTTTCACCAATTTATTTATGGACGGTATACTTTTACTTTTTCATTCACCATTATTTATTTCTACATACAAGTACAACATTTCATTATTTCAACATTTAGTTTCTACATACAAGTACTAATTCAAATTAAATACACTGGTGTAAGAAATTAAGAGAATTTGCAGACTTGGTCGATTATCTCTAGATAGAGACGTGTAAGACTTTAGTTCAGTAGCAGTAAATATGTAAATTTATAAACCATAAATAAAAAAACAATAAAAGATTTCTAATTTATACTTAGCATTTAAAAAATGCTAACGGAAAACCTCCCCAAAAGGGGCGGGGCGTATAGACGGTTTACAGTGAGACATTAATGTGGAATTGTTACAGCTCATATTTCTTCATCCCAGCATGTACTAGTAATATTTTTACCAGTTCACGCTGTTATTAAAACATTGATTACCTTCAAGTATACTGCTTCAATAGAGAAATTGAATTTTTTACTTATTAACTAAATTTAATATTAAATGTGGTAGCTATAAAATTTTAAATTACACATTGTTTCAAAAATCATTACTGTTTATTTTCACACTTTTTGATTAAAATTCTTTGCAGTGATGATGATAGAAACAGAGTAACTGATTTTACAATTGTAAATGCGGATTATTTTAATTGTACAAACATTACAGTGAGTGCATTGAAACAGTTTAGAGCAGGGATGTCAAACTCGCGGCCCGAGATGAACATTTTTGTGGTCCAGTCAATATATCCGAAACAAAGTAAAAATGAAACGGAAATGTGAATTAGAAACGAAACCACTATATAAAACTATAATATACTTTATTTACAAACTATACGGATCATTTTAAATTGTACGCGCGAAAATGTAAAATTCTAATTGGCCGAAATGGAGTCCGTTTCACACTAAGCTATCAGTTAGATAGTACATATTCAGGTTTATCCTACTATAGCGAGGTACGTTGGTTATCTTGCTCCAAGGTTCTCAAACAATTTTGGGATGCGAAAGAAGAAATATGTAAGTCTTTACAAACTAAAAATCAAGATACAAGCTTGTTCTCCGATCAAATATGGTTGCAAGGTTTATCTTTTATGGTTGATGTAACCAAATACTTATCCGATTTAAATTTATTATTACAAGGCAAGGATCAGATAACTACGAACATGTTTGGCATAATTAATGTATTCAAATGTAAACTATTTCTTTGGGAAAGGCAACTGAAAAATGAAGATTTAACGCACTTCCCAATTCGCAACAAGAACAAATCTAGTTTAAATGATACTGCATCGTATAAAAAATACGTAGAAAAAAAAATTCAGATCTTAGAACAGAATTCGAAACAAGGTTTAAAGATTATAATTCTTTGGAAGACAAATTTTGTTTGTTTTCTTCGATTTTCGCAATAAATATAGACTCAATACTCAGTTATATGCAAATGGAAGTGATTGAGATTCAGTGCG